GCTGCAGTCCTTGACCCTCCGCAGCAAGAGCATCAGGTCCTCCTCAGTTTCAGCAAGCAGGGCTGTGTCATCTGCATAACGGAGATTGTTAATAGACCTTCCACCAATCCTGATGCCACAATTCTCCTCACAGAGCCCAGCCTCTCGGATAATCCGCTCTGCATACATGTTGAAAAGGTATGGAGACAGGATGCATCCCTGGCGTACACCCTTCCCAATTTTGAACCATGCAGTGTTACCCTGCTCTGTTCTGACTACTGCCTCTTGGTCCAAGTATAGGTTTCGTATTAGCACCATTAAATGTTCTGGGATTCCCATTCTTCTCAGAGTCAGCCACAGTTTGTTATGATCCACACAGTCAAATGCCTTTGCATAATATCTGTATTATACAACACTACAAAGATTAAGAAGGAAATGGCTATGTTTCAGGAGCCCACAAAAGAAGTAATTTCACTAAAATGATGAACTTGGGGATCTTGACCCAAAAAGAACTAGGTCATTCATGGATCAACCAAAGGCAGTACTATCTCAAATGGAACAGGAAGTAAGAAGAAGAAGAATCAGCTAGTGAGGACACTGACTCTAGAGGTCATGACTAGAAGAACAAAAAGATTAAATAGCAGCAGGGTACCATGTGTTGTTCAATGCTTCTTTAAACCATGTTAAAGGTAACTAATAGGTAAATAACACTATAGAACAATGCAATACAGAGTAAGGACAAAGTTATAGGTATGAGGTCCAGTGCCAGGAAAGATAGTGAGAAAGAAGAGTTCTTGGCACTATTTTTGAGAAATCCTGGAGACTAAGAGAATGCCCTGATGATATAGCCTAGTTAAGTCTCAGTTTAAATCTTGACTCAATTTCTTATTGCTATGCAAATTGGGCAAGTTATTTTCTGTTGTGCATAATAAAGATAATAGCACTTACAGGAGTGGCATCCACTTCCTAAACAATATGCCTGCAAAAACTGTGAACTTTGATAAATGTTTATAATTGTAGAGGGCCTTTTGTTCATAGGGTTGCTATGAGTTGTACTCTACTCGAAGTCAATTAACAACTACAATCTTGTTAGGGGTGTTGTGAGGATTAAATTAGATTATGTCTACAAAGCTGTTGTTGTTGTTGTTGTTATGTGTCATCAATCAACTGTGACTCATAGCAACCCTATGTACAACAGCTCTGAAGCTTGCCCTGCCCTGGGCCAGTCTCACTGACTTCAACACACCTATCCCCATTGCCATAGTTATTGTCAATCTATCTCATCCGGGGTTTTCCTTTCCTGAACTGTCCCTTCACCCTTCCAAACACGATGTCCTTCAAGGATCAGTTCCTCTTGGCTATGTACCCAAAGTATGTGAGACAGAACTTCAAAGTCCTAGCCTCCAAGGAGAAACTTGGTTTCACCCTCTCCAAAATAGACCTATTTGTTTTCTTGGTGGTCCATGGTATGTTCAAGACTCCTCCAGAACCACAGCTCAAAAGCATCAATTCTTCTTCTGTCATCCTTACTCATTGTCCAGCTCTCTGATGCATACCAAGTAATTGTGAAGGCCATGGCCTGGATCAGGCACACCTTAGCCTCTAGACTGACAAACTTTGCTTCTCAATACTCTAGAAAAGTCCCTGATAGCACATTTCTCTAATGCAATACATCTTTTGATTTCCTGACTACCAGTGTCAAGATTGTTAATTGTTGAGCCAAGCAAGCTGTAATTGTTAACAACCTCAATCACTTCTCCATCCATTATGGTGCTGCCAGTCAGCCAAGTGGTAAGAATCTTTGTCTTCTTGATGTTGAGCCTCAATCTATATTGAATATCACAGTACTTGACCTTCTGAAGCAAGTGCTTCAGTTTCTCTTCAGTTTCAGCAAGTAAGGTTGTATCATCTGCATAACATAGATTATTTATGAGTCTTCCTCCAATCCTGATTCCACATTCCTCCTCAAAAAGCTCAGCCACTTGAATGATCTGTTCTGCATATACATTGAAAAGGTATGGAGACAAGATACATCCTTGATGCACTCCCTTCCTGATTTTTAACAATGCAGTTTTTCCTTGCTCTCTTCTGAGTACTGCTTCCCGGTCCAAGTATAGGTTTCACAGCAGTACAATCAAGTGTTCTGGGATTTCCATTCATCTCAAGTTTAGCCAAAATTTGTTGTGATCCACATAGTCAAATCCCTTTGCATAGTCAATGAAACACATATCCCTCTTGTACTTTTCCCTTTCTGCCAAGATCCATTTGACATTGACAATAATGTTTTAGTGCCATGGCCTCTTCTAAACCCAGGTTGTATTTCTGGTAGTTCTCTGTCAATGTACTGTTTCAGTTATTTCTGGATAATCTTCAGCAGGATTTTGCTTGTGTGTGATATGAGTGATATTGTATGATAATTTCCACATTCTGTCAGGTCACCTTTTTTTGGAATGAGAATAATACGGATCTTTTCCAGCCAGGTAGATGTCCTCCAGATTTTTTGGCACAACCTGGTGAGCACATCCACAGCAGCATCTGTTTGTTGAAATATATGTCAATTGTTATGCCATCAATTCCTGGGGCTTTATTTTTTGCCAAGTCCTGCAGACCAGCCTGAACTTCTTCCTTCATCACCATTGCCTCTTGATCATATGTTATTTCTTTAAATTCTTCTGTATCAGCCAATTGTTTTTGGTACAGTGACTCTGTATACTCCATCTTCTTTCAATACTTTATGGATCATTTAATAGTATTGCACTCGAGTCTTGAATTTGTTCTTTAGTTCCTTCAGCTTAAGAAATACTGAGTGAATGTGGCCTTTTTTATTTTTGGACTCCAGTTCTTTGCTTTGTCTTCCCATGATCCCCTTTGAAATCTTCTAATCAGCTCCTTAACTTCTTGACTTCTTCCCTTTCTTTTGGCTTCTCAGCGCTCTAGTGCAATATTCAGCGTTTCTTCTGACATCCATTTTGGTCTTTTCTTCTTCTTCTGTCTTTGCATTTACTATGAAGAAATCATTCATTGTTCAGAATTCTATCATACTATCCCCAGACTAATTTCTGTCACTAAGTGCATGTTTTCTGTCTACTTATTCTTTTTCCTGGTTCCCAAATTTTGGTAGAAATAATCTGTTTCCTCTTTTTGGGCTCTGATTGTTGATGCATAAATTTGAATGACAGTGGTATTAACAGGCATTCTTTATATGAGTATGTCACCCACAACATTGTATTTCAAGATGGATCTAGAAATGGCATACATCAGGAAGTTGAGACCGCAATCTTACCTCCTTTCAGGTAACCTCCATTCTCCCAGGATCACGTTGGCTTTGCTAACAACCAGTCAGCCTAGGCCAGATGGGACATCCAGACCCAGATCTGCATTGGAAACCTAATAAACAACACTAGCATGCCAGATCTAAAGGAGACATAGTTCTCACCATGGAAATTATCGTGTTGTGACAGCCATGTGGTGCAAAAGGAAGAACAGACACTATGTCACAAGACAACAGTCCTGGGGCAGAAGCTCATGGGCAAGAACCTTTCCCCAGTACTGTCTGAGACAAAAATCCCTCCATGAAACTAATACCTGGGATTTGGACTTAAATCCTTCTGAACCTGAGATAGAAATCAGCGTGAGATACCAACAACATTGTGAGGTGGAAGACATCACAGAAGTGACTTGTGGCAAAGGGATACTGGGGGAAGGGAGGTGCTGGACAAGGTAGGAGAGGATGCAAACTATGCTAATATTCAGGGAAATGGAAGGGATACACACATGCAGGGGGAAGGCACTGCATGTATGGTTATCTCTGTAAGGAGAAGTGTCTTTCATTTGTTCCTTTCACTAAAATGCTTGTCTGTTAGATGTTGATACAAAACTAAGAATCCAAAATAAGACAGACTAGAAAGAAGGATTGGCCATCCACTTCGAAAACCCTATGTTCAATAGAGCACATATAGAGTAGAATAATAAATATGTCAACTGAGGTGGAGCCCTCAAATATGGAAAAGCAAAGGAGGAGGAACAGTTGTAAGCAGAAACTAATGATTGGAATGTGGAATGTAAGAAGCATGAAGGTAGGAAAACTATACCTCATTAAGAAAGAATTGGAATGCATAAATATTGACATATTAGATATTGGCAAAATGGGATGGATTGACATGGGATATTTTGAATCAGACAATCATATGATATACAAAGCAGTAGGTATGTGTATTCAATATATAATAGAATCAATTATACAATAGATATAAAATATCTATTTTAAAATCTATAAAATAGAGTCAATTTTGATTCATAACCACTCTATAGGACAGAGTAGACCTCCCCCCAAGAGGGTTTGCAAGGCGGTAAATCTTTATAGAAGCAGACCAAATTGTTTTTCCCTGTGTAAATGTTGATGGGTTTGAACTGCGACCTTTTGATTAGCAGCCAAGTGCTTAACCAATGAACCACTGGGTCTCCCTCCAATATACAAGAGCCACTATCATTATTACAATTAGTATCATGCTTGGAAGGTTGGAGGGACAATTAAGAATAGGAAGACCCCAGATAAGATGGATTGATACAGTAACTGGGCCAATGGGGGTTGGTGTGTTGGAATTAGTGAGACTGGCTCAGGACAGGGCAGGCTTTAGAGTTGCTGTACGTAGGGTCGCTATGGGTCACAGGTGACGTGACAGCACAAAACAACATGACTATCAGAATAGCCATTCATTAAGAACCTGTCATTTTAAACTGTTGCATGAGCAACACCAGATGATGTTTCTTCAATTAATTGAATTTCTCTTTTCTAACCCACACAGTGTAACTGTTTTGCACCTTTCAGTAGCAGGAAGCAAACAGGGCATATACTTCAGAAATGAGAGAGGGGAAAGATTATAGGTCCTATGATGCGTTCTTTAGGAAGAGAAGCCCCTCCTTTCCAATATTTCTTCATGTGGTCTCAGAAGAAAACAACTAAGTAGCCTTAGGTTTGTGTGAGTGGGCCCGCTGCATAAAATATTCTTTCCCTCTCTCAGCAATCCACCTGTGGTCTGGACCTGCGTCATGTGACCATCATTGAGCTTGTGGGGCAGCCACCTAAGGAGGTGGGGCGCATCCAGGAGCAGCAGCTGTCAGCCAACATCATCAAGGAGCTCAGGTCCAGGCTGGGAGGCTGCAGGGAAGGTGTGGGCAGGAACCCTAGGCAAGACAGTGGCAAAGGGAAGTTATGGGAGGACCAACAAACACTATCCTCTTGGGAGTATTCTTTCTTTTTGAACTCCTAAGCTGCCTTGGGATGTTCTTAACTTGGGTAGCACATCAGAAAAAAATGAGGGGTTAAAAGACAGATTATCAGGCTCCACATAAACCACCTTGCATCTAAAGCACTGCCAGAGTTGAAACACTTAGACCCCAATTTGACTCAGATAAGCTTCTGATCTTTCTGCCTCTTGGCTTCATTCTTTGCCTTCAGTTTCCAAAGAAGCAAAACGTATCTCTAAGCCTTGCAATGTGAATCATATCCAGCAGTCTTTGGGCAGAGAGAAGAGATAGGTGGCAGGTGATAGAAGTTGACTTTTCTCATTATCTACCTATTATCAATCCTTCCAATGTCTTCTTATATACTCAGGGCCAGTAAAGTCATTACTGCTCTCTTCTATAAACAGAACCTGCCTCTAGGGCTCAGGCTCAGTGGAGACAAAAAGATTCAGTCCCAGTAAAGTATAAGACTGCCAAATACTTAGACAATGGTGATTGAAGACTTGCAGCCAGAGGTTGAAGAGTTGACTAGATGATTTCAGGCTTTCATGTACAGTTTTTCAAGTTATGATCAGCCCAATTCTAAAATACACTAGACATATGATAGTATATGTGACTGTTGATCGCCACCCCCAGGAGTTATTCAGTACAGCCTCTGTAGCTTTATGTGACAGTCCCGCCTAAGGGGACTTAGAAAGGAAGTGTAGCCTGGAAATAAAAGCATTGCCCCAGGTAGGGTAAGGAAAGATAGCTTAGCAGAGCTAGACACCAAGGGGCAAGAAGACTAAGAATCTGAGCATGGAAAAACAAAGGGGTGTAAGTGGGTGGTAGAGAGGTTGAGAGTCAAGGAATTGATTAGGGGAACAATTAGTCCAACAGTGGAGATGCAAAGAGGATGATGATAGAATCTGGTGGACTGAACATCCAGACAAGGCCTCACATCTCCCTGTGCTTCTTTTTAGGCAATTTCAGCACCTCACTCACTCCTATTTCAACATGGTATTGATTGACAAGCAAGGTATAGACCGGGAACGCTACCTGGAGCCTGTCACCCCTGAGGAGATATTCACCTTCATTGATGACTACTTACTGAGCAACCAGGAACTGGTCCAGCACAGGGAACAAAGGGACATATGCGAATGAACCTGAGCCAAAGCATGAAGAGGTTTAGGAAAAACTACTCATTACTGGACTAATAAAAAGAAGGAAAAAAATCTAGGACCAAGACTTTGAGGAGGGTGAAGTCCACCAACCTTGAGACATTTCCAGGCAGCTTTTTAGGACAGTGTGGTAGTTCCTTTGAAGTAAGTATTTTTTCAGGTAACATTGGAGGAGCATAAGAAGCTAGGAAAGAACTGAGGAAAGGCCCTAGACTGAAGACTAGGGGTAGAAGGTCTTCTTTTCCTAATTGGAGTCTCTGCCCATCCTCCAGAGTCTTTCAGAAGAATAAAATCTAGGGCTTCCAATAGATACTTTCCAGTTCAAACCCTGAAGATAATTTTAATTTCAATTCCCTCCCCCATAAACTGAATCAGAATCTATACTTCCACAAGATCCTTGTTGTCTTATGTGCTGTCCCTAGGTAATTCTTTTATTTTTTTTAAACCGCTCCTTTTTTTTTTTTTAGTTTAATGAAAGTTTACAGACTTTGGATTTCCATTCACTCATTGTTGCATACGTTCCTCCTTGCTCACCCCTCCCCCCAGTTCACTTTTCTCTTTGAAAAGTTAAAAAAAAATAAAATTCTTCCATTGTTATATAATCTGCTCCCCCTCCACCCGCCTACCCCCTAGTCCACTCCACTATGCAGCTTTCATTCTGGACTCTTGTCATGACAATAATACCTAATAATATATTTATTTTAAACAATTCTCTCCCTCATCTATTTCAATGCAGTATATATTTAACCCCTCTTAGTTTCCCCCAACCCTGATGTCAGTCCCTCTTTACAACCGTGGCACTCACTATGCAGTGTTTGTCCTTTTTGTGACCAAGATATTTCACTCAGCATAATGTCCTCCAGGGTCACCCATTTTGTATAATATTTCATGAGTTCCTTGTTTTTTAAGGCAGCATAGTATTCCAGTGTGTGAATATACCAGAGCTTCTCTATCCATTCATTTGTTGATGGGCACTTAGGTTGTTTCCAACTCTTTGCTATTGTGAACAAAGCTGCAATAAACATGGGTGTGCATATATCTACTTGAGTGGCAGTTATGGTTTCTTTGGGGTAAATTCCCAGTAGTGGAATTGCTGGGTCAAATGGTATTTCTATTTCCAACTTTTTGAGAAAGCACCATACTGCCTTCCATAATGGTTGCACCATTTTACACTCCTACCAAGAGTGAATAAAGGTTCCAGTTTCTCTGCAACCTTGCCACCATTTGTTATTTGCCCATAGGTAATTCTTAACTTTAAATCTATGTCTACAAAAATCACTTGTGGATCACAATTTGAATGAAGACTAGTGTGAAACACAATATTTAAAAACAAACAAATTACCTTTACATCTTTAAGAGTCACCTGAGGAAGGATCTTCTTAAGCTATAGATTCTGATTCAGTACATCTCAGGTAGAAAGGCAAAAGTCTCAGCAAAGTGTTGAACCTGAATGATCTGGTTCAAAGTAATGGTAAATTGTAAATGCATTCATTAACTGTTGTTGTTGTTTTTATATGCTGTTGAGTTGCTTGCCACTCATAGCGACCCTATGTACAATAGCTCTGAACACTGCCCTATCCTGAGCCACTCTCACTGATTCCAACACATGAGCGAGCCCTCATTACTCCAGATGCGATGTCAATCCATCTCATCCGGGGTCTTCCCCTCCTGCCCTATCTCTCCACCCTTCCAAGAATAATGTCCTTCTCCAAGGACTTGTACCCCCTGGCAAGATGCCCAAAGTATGTGAGGCAGAGCTTCAAAATCCTTGCCTTGAAATTGTTGTTGTTGTTATGTGCCCTGGAGTTGCCTGAGATTCATAGCGACCCTATGTACAGCAGCCCTAAAACCTGTTCTATCCTGTGCCAGTCTTATTGTCTCTGATACACCAACTCCCATTACCCCAGTCATTGAAACAATCCATCTCATCGTCTTCCTCTCTTGCACTGTCCCTCCACCCTCCCAAGCATGATGCCAAATTAGATGTATTTAAATGGATCCCCAGGCAGCACACTGGCTTAGCACTTGGCTACTAACTGAAAGACTGTCAGTTTTCGCCCCCTGAGAGAAAAGATCTGTTTTCAAGAAAACAAATTCACTGCCATCGAGTGGGTTAGTGATGGTCTGTTGGCTTTTCAAGGCTGTGCATCTCTAGGGGTTTGAACCCACCAGCTGTATGGCAGAAAGAAAGGTGAGCAGTCTCCCAGTGTGAAATCCAATGGCAGGCTGCTGTGTGTTGGAATCTACTTGATGACAGTGAAATTTTAACAAGAGACTGCTCTTCTTTCTCCCATGGAATCACTGGTGGATCCGCGAAGCACAACTCACTATGGATTACAATATCAGAAATTTCAGCCTTAGAAATAATAAAGGCTCTGCCTATCCCACAGGGTTGGGACATAAATCATGAACTCTGAACATATGATAGTTAGCAGTGAGTCAGATGAGAGCTATTTTCTCTGGGGTTTTAGTGGAAAGCGCCTGTTTTAAATGCAAACTAAAAAGGTTAGACAGTTTCTGGAGAGAATAAAACACAGAGGAAATGCTCAGACTTGAAGCCTTGTTCCCTCTAGGGAAATACAGGAGCTATGAAGGTACCTAGTGGGTAAGGAATTGCACTGTCAATCCAAAGTCTGGCAGTTCAAATTCACCAGTTGCTCCAGGGAAAAGATGATGTACTCCCATGCAATTTACAGCCTCTAAAAACCCATTAGAGGATCAGCTATGAATTGGTTCCTACTTGACGGCAATGACTGCGTGAGTGATGAAGGGCAGGAGGCAAGTTATGGGCAGAAGGGGAAATAGAATGAGTTAATATGGAAAATCTCCAGTGAGACAGGTTCTGTGGTTCCAAAGGCAAGGATTGCACATCATACAGGATGATTGCCTGGATGCCTTTCCTTGTTTTTTATTACTAATATTTCAAGTGGCAAGTCAAAGGTCCAAATGATAACATAGAGGAAGTCCATTATCTCCCAAACAGAGCTCCTGTCTGGGCCTGGCTGACTCTTGCATATAGATTAAAAAACAAAACAAAACAACACCAAAACAAACATACAAAAAAACAAATCAAGGGGATTTTATTTCATTCCTTTTCCTTTTTTAGTGGTTAAGGCAGTCTTGATTTCTTTAGGTAAACTTTTACTGTAACCTCCTGTATATTTGACTTCCTATAACACAGATGGTGTGCGTGGGTGTTGTGGCAGCTTTTGGACGTAAAGGACTACTCTGCCTCCAGGAGCCAGGCAAGCCAGGCTTGGCCTAGGGTTTAAGGCAGCAGGGGACTTCAAGCCCAAAAGGGGAAGAGGGAAGAGGAGGCGGCCATATTCTCCCAGGTTTGCTCTGCCCAGGGCTGCTATGACCTGGTTACCAGAGAGAGCATGGTGCTGTGACCCTCGGGCCAGTCTTTCATTGTTTTTGTTCAGACATACCTCTAGGTCATATAGCCCTGGTGTACAAGTTGCCATACCACAGTCACTTGTGGTTGCTGTGAGGCTGAACACTGTGACACTGATGTGTCAAATGTGTTAATGGTTGGCTACCCAATGTGGACAGAGAGTGGGGTGGAGGTCCTCGATTAAAACAAGCTTGGAAGGAAGAGTGGCATCCACTTCCATAATAGCTTGCCTCTGGAAACCCTATGAACCTGGAGAGAGGATGAAAGGCACCCAAGCATTGAGGACTCTCCTTCACAGGGTCGCTATGAGTTGCCTGTGACTCGGCAGCACTTAATAAAACAACAACATAACACAGATATGATTTAAACTGACTTCTAAAGTAAGAGAAAGGAACAGCAGCAGAATCAGGCCTATAGCTAGACCCAGATGAGTTAGACTTACCTCAAACTCCATACATGTCTGTCTCTTTCCCTCTGCACTTCTCTGCCCAAATCCAGTCCTCTACCCTTGTAAACACACAAGCTAAATAATAAATCAGTTAGATGATATCCAAAGCATTCTGATTGTGTTGCTTTGTAAATTAAGTTTTAACCTTCAAGGTATTCTAGAAGAGATGAGTCATTCATTCCTTTGAACCTTTAACACACATACTACCCTTACAGGAGGCAACATGGTACAGAAATCAGACTTTGTTTGAAATGCCAACTCTAGTGCATTATAGAGGGCTTGCCTTTCCTCACATATGGAAACAGTATTTTTATATTTCATAAGATGTTTTGAGAATTTAAAGCACCAACATATAAAGTGCCTAATATCTGTTGTTTTGTTGTTGTTAGGTGTTGAGTACAATTTACAGCTACCATGTGAACAATGAAACTGAACTCTACCATATCCTGTCTCATCCTCATCAATTCTGACAGACTTGAGCAACTGTTGCAGTCACTGTGTCAATCCATCTCAGTGAGAGACTTCCTATCTGTCACTAACCAAGGACATTTAATATTTATTAGGGAGCTCTGGTGGTATAGTTTATAGGAAGTTGTGCTGCTAACCCTGCCACAGGAAAAAGATAAACAATCTCCTCCCATGTGATTTACAGCCTCAGAAACCCAACGGAGAGTCAGCTTTATGTTGTTTCCAACTAGACAGCAAAAGAACAACCCTTTGTATTAGAAAACAAGAATCACTTGGGCTTTACCTAGAAAACCAAAGTTGGATTTCTACATCATTTGTCCTTTAAAGTTAAATAATACTAGAAGTAGTAAAATAAAAATGTTCTCACCTCCAGAGTAATGAAGAAAAGGGTTTATGGCAAGAAATGTCTTCCCTCAGTTCTCATGGGAATATGTCTTTAGCACAAGAGATTCTACAATGTAAAGAAAGAGTTCCCTTGACACTTCAGAGGAAGAAAAGTACTGTATTTAAGTTAGTTTCTGAGGAGATCAGATCTCAGAATCAGTACACAACAGTTAAGGAAGGGCATTTGCCCCCTTAGTTCTTAACCTTTAAGCTACTTGAAGAATAAAAAAAAAAGTCAGGACCTCAGAGACAAAAGGATCTATAGAACTAACACATGCAAACACTTGACAAGTGATAAAGCTTTATTGATGTACACATACATTTCA